GCGCTGTCGGGCGCCCGTCCACCTGGCCGCCCGTGATGGTACCTGAAGCGCAGGGCTGTGCCTGTTCGCGGTCGTGTCCCGAGGGGTGCGGCCTAGAAGGATCTGTTCAAACTCGGTGAGCCCCCAAATAACGCTTCCTTTTAAAGAACCCGCCTCGTTTTGGAGTTCAGGAGCCAGGACTTTTTTTTATTTTATTTTTCAATTACAGTTGACATTCAATATTATTTTACATTAATTTCAGGTTTACAGCATAGTGGGTAGACAATCGTACAGTTTACAAAGCGGTCCCCCTGTTATTTCCAGTACCCACCTGGCCTTATAGTTATCACAATATTATTGGCTGTCTTCCCTATGCTGCACTTTACACCCCCCTATTTCGTAACTACCAGTTTGTACATCTTAATCCCTTCACCCTTTTCACCCAGCCCCCCAACCTCCCTCCCCTCTGGCAAACCATCCCTCTGTTCTCTGTGTCTATGTTTCTGTTTTGTTAGTTTTGTTCTTTATATTCCGTATATAAGTGAAGTCATATGGTATCTGACTTTCTCTGACTGGTTTATTTCACTTATCACAATATCCTTTAGGTCCACCCGTGCTGTCTCAAATGGTAAGATTTCATTCCTTTATATGGCTGAGTAATATTCCATTCTCTATATGTACCACAGCTTTTTATCCCCTCTTCTATTGATGGGCCCTCGATTGCTTCTGTGTCTCAGGAGCCAAGACTTTTAAGCAGGGCCAGTTTGCTCTGTAAAGTCAATTGCCCAAGTGACCTTAGTTGAAAACTAAGTAACTTCCTGGATAACTGTCCTAAAAGAAGCTTTAATTCAGGCAGCCTGGTCATCAACTTGAGGCACAGGTAGCAATGGGATTCCAGCCCTGGCAGGTCCTACAGTTTTATCTATTCAAAATCATAATAGAAAATTGACTGCTTTAGAAGTTAACCTAGTTTTTAGTACCAACTATGACACACGCAATCCCATGTGTTCAACCTAGTCATTCCTCCCCTCCTTCCCTGACAACCAGTTGTTGTTTTTAACTATTTCCATAGTTTTGCCTTTACCAGAATGTCATATAGTTGGAATCATACAGATGTAGCCAATCACACCACTGGCCTCCTTCACTTAGTAATATTCTTCCATGTCTTCTTATGGCTTGATAGTTCATTTCTTTATAAGTGCTGAAAACTATTCCATTGCCTGGATGTACCACTGTTTATCCATTCACCCGCTGAAGGACATCTTGGTTGATTCCAAGTTTGGGCAATTATGAATAAAGCTGCTATAAACATCTGTGTGCAGGTTTCATGTGGACATAAACTTTCAACTTTTTTGGGTAAATACCATGGAGCACAATTGTTGGAACAGTTTGTTTAGTTCTATAAGAAACTGCCAAACTGTCTTCCAAAGTGGCTATACCATTTTGCATCCTACCAGCACTGTTTGAGAGTTCTGGTTGCTGCATATCCTTGCTAGCATTTAGTGGTGTTAGTGTTCCAGATTTTGGCCATTCTAATAGGTGTGTAGGAGTAGCTCATTGCTGTCTACATTTGCAGTTCCCTGATGACATATGTGTGCATCCTTTCATGTGCCTATTTACCATCTGTATGTCTTCTTTGATGAGGTATCTGTTAAGGTCTTTGGACTATTTGTTAATCAGGTTTTTATTATGTTTGAGTTTTAAGAGTCCTTTGTATATTTCAGATAGCAATCTTTTATCAGATATATCTTTTGCAAATATTTTCTACCAGTCTGGTTTATCTCCTAATTTTCTTGACATTATCTTTTGCAGAGCAGAAGTTTTAAAATTTTAATGAAGTCCAACTTGTCAATTATTTCTTTCATTGACTGTGCCTTAGGGTACTGTATCTAAAAAGTCATCACCAAACCCAAGGACCTCTAGATTTTCTCCTATTTTACCTTCCAGGAGTTTTATAGTTTTATGTTTTACATTCATGTCTATGATCTATTTTGAATTAATTTTTATGAAGAGTATAAGGTTTGTAACCAGATCCATTTTTTTGCATGTGGATGCCCCATTGTTCCAGCACTGTTTGTTGAAAAGACAATACTGCCTTTGCTCGTTCATCAAAGATGAGTTGACTTTATTTATATTGATCTATTTCTGAGTTCTCTATTCTGTTCCATTGATCTTTATCCGTTCTTTTGCCAATAACACAGTGACTTAATTACTGTTATTTTATAGTGAGTTTTGAAATCAGGTAGTATCGGTCTCTGAATATTGTCTTGGCTATTTTGTGCCTTTTTCTTCCCTATACGAACTTCAGATTCAGTTTCCGTATATCCACAAAATAACTTGCTGGGATTTTGATTGGGATTGCATTGAGTCCAAGTTGAGAAGCACTGACATCTTGACAATATTGAGTCTTCCTGTCCACAAAAATTGAATATCTCACCATTTATTTAGTTCCTCGTTGATTTCTTTCAACAGAGTTTCATAGTTTTCTTCATGTAGATCTTATATATATTTTGTTAGATTTATACCTAAGTGTTTCATTTTGGAGGGTGTTAATATAAATAGTACTGTGGGGGTGTTTTCGGTGTTTTGTTGGTTTTTTTCCAAATTGGTATTCTGTTTTTAATTTCAAATTCCACTTGCTCATTACTGGTACATAGGAAAGTGATTGACTTTTATGTTAACCTTGTAACCTTGTTAATTCTGTAACCTTGCTATAGTCACATTAGTTCCAGGAGTTTTTAGTTGATTCTTTTAGATTTTCCTACATAGACAATCATGCCTTCTGCAAAGAAAAACAGTTTTATTAATTCCATTCCAAACTGTATACCTTTAATTTCCTTTTCTTGTCTTATTGCATTAGCTAGGACTTCGTTCCTGGTCTTTCAGGAAGGTAAACTCACAAAAGTGTTGGGGTCCCTGAAAACTGAGTTCCCATGGAGTTTGTAACTCTCAAGACTTGTCCAAACACCCCCAGCAATTCAGTTACAGTTCAAATTTTCATATCCCCTATTGGTTCCTCTGGAGGTTTCTACTCATGTGTTTTTCTTACAGCAAGTTGTGATTCTTTGTATCTTCTTGTCTGTACCTCCAGTTTTGGAAGCAGTGATTTGCTGCTTAAATCTCTGACAGATCTAAAAATTTTTGTTTTTCAGTTTTTTTAGCATTTTGCTTGTTAGGACGGAATGATGGCTTCTGCACTCTACATGTCAGACAAGAAACCCCAATTCTTCATTTTCTAAAACAAATGTTACTTTAAGAATGCAATTGAGCCCGGCCCGGCATGGCTTAGCGCTTGAGCGTCAACCTAGGATCCAGGCGATTGGGGCTGGATTCCCGGTCAGGGCCGGTTGTGGGCTTGATCAATGACTCTCTCATCATTGATGTTTCTATCTCTCTCTCTCTCTCCCTCTCCTTTCCTTTCTCTGAAATCAATAAAGATATATTTAAAAAAAAGAATGCAA